TCCAACGACAACTCAGCAAGACCATGTACTTCGTGCACTGGAATAAGGCGCGACCAGCCTTCACTCAAAATTGACGCGTCGAAGAAAGGCATTGGTGCGATGGCGTTCACGTGATAGTGTAAGTTGCCGCAAGTGTACATATGTGAGTTACATAGCCAGAGCTTCCGATGCTACCCAATTCTCAAGCCTTCGAAGTGTCTCATTTTCGATAGCATACCTCTCTCTAGCTGGCCATAGGACACGACACTCGGCGTATACCGAGAGAGAGCTAGGCCTGGAGCAGCACACTACGACACACTTTACCACTTGTAAAAGTTTCGCTCGAAAGCTAGTTAAATGATTAACTAGCCTTAGTTACTCACATTTAAAGGACACTGCGGAAGTTAATCATAATACCAGACCTAAGACACAACACCGCTTTCATCCCAAGTTTCCCCGTACCTACCCCGTAGAATCTACCGGAGTTCCAGACATAACAAAGAAATCTTCTAATACTTAAAAAAAAAAGTATACGACAAGTAGGAAAGTAGCATTTGATACCATTGGACGAATGTTAGCCCAACCCCTACTACTATGGTGGTAAGGTATCTAGAGTTAAGCTTTCTAGTCAGAAAAACACACTGGTAATTTTGCTAGTTTTTCCCAAGTTAGTTATGCGGACTCACTCGTGATTTTTATGTCGTGGCGGCTTGGCTGACATGACGCCGTTCCCCATTTGTGCGGGACGGGCTTTAATGTCTTCTTTAAAGGCACCTAGGTACTTATTATAGCCCCCAACTGCATGCATGCCTTCGCAACCCAACTTTATCTCGTTCGTTACAACCAGTCACCACCCACAACGAGCAAAATATGGCAAGCGAAGCACTTGACTCCGCTACAGCGTACGGCTGCTTGGCTTTTGACGTCTTCCTCATGGTAGGTATATCTACAAACAAGACGGCACAGAAAGCGTGAACGGTGAATAGATATTTAACCAGACGCTTTCAGGAACGATGGGACCACGCCGCCGACCCGACCAAAGATCCGGAACAGTGGGAGTCAGCTGTGCACGCCTATCTTGCCCTCACAGCGCGGGAGCGTTTCCCGTACCACGAGAAAGCCTTGGAACGTTCAGCCCAACCCCACCAGCATCAAGTCGATCCCAAGCTAGCCGCCCGCCTGTTCGCACCCTACCAGACACCGCGCGAGCGCAACATGACCGCGCGCCGGGCGGAAACATTGCCCCAACCCGTGGCGCTGCGCACCTTGCTACCGCCCCGAGCTCGAAGCAGCGTACTCGGCGCTGGCCGAGCCCTACGTGAACCATCCTGGGCTGGACGGCATGGTGGATGAGGCGAGTCCACTCGACGATCCGGGCCTATATGGCTCCTGCGAGGGCGACTGGAAGCGCCTCCTACTGCGCGTCCCGGAGTTGTGCGACACCGTACGGTTTTCCATCGAAGAGGAGTATGAGAACAACGAACGGTGGATGGAAGAGGCTGAGGACGAGTTGGACAGGTTCTCGAGGATGGCGGCAGCGACTGTTTTCGAGGTGGATGCGGAGGCGTTGGAAGACGGCTGGCTCAAGTTGCTCCGGTTGGACTACCATGGCGAGAGTCTGTGGCACAACAGGGTCAGGAGCGGGGACATTCTCGAGTTTACTGGCGCGCGTGAGGCGCTTGTGTGATGAACCAAATATTGAATGGCTATGCCGAGAGCCTGGAGAAAGGTGCGCGCCTAACTTTTGATTAGGTACCTAAGGTAGTAGGATAAATGGCATCAGCCTGCTCCCTGGCCGCGTCCCTTTGCTCGCGCTGCTGTTAGGCCGTGCCCAAGCAACCCCCCAGCGTTTTTTAAGCCCCATTGGTCATTAACTACCAGCTGAGAATAATAACCCGTATATTGGCCCGCAGGCTTTAGTATGTTCTACAGCGGCATTATTAGATAGTCCCGTGAAGAGAATTGCCTGTCGTTCAAGCTCGAATCGTTACCCCTAACACCATTGTACCATCTCCTTGTTTGAGTGTTTAGCTACAATCTACGCCTGTGTCCATGAACCCGGAAGGTACCTACTTCGGTACCTATCTCGCAAACCAGTCTATTCCTTGTGAGTTCAACCATTATTTCTAAGTGTGGGGAGTCATCGAATCCTTCGACCTACCTGAACCACAAATCAACAAATCAGCGGTAGTGGTACATACCTATATGTACCCACTCGGATCCCGAAGGAGGCTGTTCCGTCCCCGATCATCCGAGCAATCGAATGATGTCCCCACACACGCCCGACGCCGTCCAGCTTTAAATGCAACCCACCCCTTCATCAACCACACGCCTGGACACCTCCAAACCACGTTGACTCCAAGCCTCGCCTGTTTCGTGAAGCTACACCAACCCAACCCACCAAGGGTCCAAGAACGTCGACACCGCCCCCAACTACCACCATGCCCACCCACCCCTTTCCCGGCCTCTCCCTCCTCGTCGCCCTCCGCATCACGCCCCTCATCTCCACCACCTGCACGCTCCTCTACGCGCGCGACCAAGACTTCTTTCTACGGCTCTTCAACCACCCCGCCTCCCACCGCGCCAAAAGCCGCCCCTTCCTCCCCTCCTACTGGCAAGCCTTCTTCCGCCGCGGCATCTACCTCGTCGTCGGCTGCCTGGGCGCAACCTTCTGGTCGTCACTCGCCAACCTTTACGTGCGCCGCCCGATGCTGCACGCCAAGGGTCGTTTGGGTGGTATGCTGCTGCCGCGGGGCTGGCGGTGGGACATTTGTTGTTCGTGCCGGCGGGTGGCGCCG